GCGGTTCAACTGTCAAACTCATTTCACTATGTTTACATTCAACTGAGAATAGTTTCGACAATTTTATGATATAATGTACCAAAATAAATCGACAAGCAAAAAATTGTATAATAATAGAATTTATCACATTTATTATCAATTATGTATAGTTTATCAATAAAATTAAAAGTTCTCCGAGCTAGTAATTAATCATATAATATTAAATTCAAAATAGCCAAATAGAATTTGAATAGTTGGATTGAAGTGCGATTTGAAACCAAACGAACTTTATTTAATTTAGAAAACAACATTGACATTAAAATTATTTAACAGCATTAATATGATCCTGATGCATTATTCCTTATAATAATTTAAATAAGGTGCATTTTCAAATATATTAAAATTTTAACGACAATTCTGATTATTTTTTAAGATTTATTAGATAAAGGATATTCATACCGTTAAAAGCTTATTTTTTTTCGAAATTTGTTAGACACTGAGAACCAGTTTATTAATGGTTTGTAAACTCTACCAAGGATTCTGGCAAGAAACTCCGGAATTAGAAATTCATTAAATAGTAAAACGGCAATGACAGTTTTATGGAAATACAATATGAAAGTGAATAAATTTATCGACTCTTACAAATTATTGAAGAAAAATCAAATTACACATTATCAAAAATATATAGTAATATATTAAAAATGAAGTTGAAGAATACAGTGAATTTATAATGAAAAATAAGTTTCCAAATTGAATAACGGTAATGCCAATGTCTGATAATTTCACTGAAAAGGAAGTTGGGAAATAAAATATTCAGATCCATAAAGACAAATATATATATATATATTTATAATGCATATGTATAATTTCTTTTTTTTTTTTTTTTAATGTATAATGTCATAGCGTCTATTATTATGTAAATTAAATAACATATTTTCCAAAATATCGAAAAAATGTTCAAATTTTTATCAGTGCTCCTGTATCCATAGAAAATGGAAAGCTATCATTTTTATTATCAAATAAAATTTGCAAAATATATATAAATAATAATTTAGTTTTAAAAAATAGAATTTTAATCCAATTTTATCACATACAAAATTTTAAGTACCATATAATTATTATTATATCTTC